ACTCCAGGGGACTAAAGCAGTTAAGACTTGATCTCAGCTATAGATTCAGTCAAATGACTTTGCTGGCTCTCCAAAAAGGAATATGGGACTGTAGCCACATTTCTATCCTATTCTGATCACCAAAATGGGACCCAGAAAGCCTAGAACCTTCCTTAAAGCCTGGGGATACTTGGAGGCCACTGCAGCCTGGGTCTCTGGCCAACACCAGAGGGTGCTGACACCCTCTGAATCTAGGCAGGAAGCGTTGGGCACCCTCCTTGAGCCCACTAGAGGGCACTGGCAGGGATCGGCTGCCAGTCACAAGATATGGAGCAGATGGCAGGTGACATCAGTGATAGAGCCAAGACCTGGGTACAGTTTCTCCCTAAGAGGATCTCCAAGGGCAGCTGTTGAGGGGGACATGGGTAGAAGAGCTGGCCAGCATGTGTCTTCTGGAGAAATCCTGCATCTCCTGGTTCTAGTGATAGCATTTGGCCTGGAGTAAGTGGCTTCACCTCCCTGAGTCTCAGTTTTCTCATTTGCAAACTGGAGCTGCTATGATTCTGGTTGTAGCATCTCTGTGAACCCTCCCAACACTGCGACCCTCTAATACAGTTCCGTATGTTGTGGAGACCCCCAGCTATAAAGTTATTTCCATTGCTACTTCATAACTGTAATTTTGCTACTGTTATGAATTGTAATGTAAATACCTATGTTTTCCAGTTAAGGCTGCCCTGTGGAAGGTTCATTTGACCCCAAGGGGTCACAAGTCATGGGTTGTGAACTGCTGTTCTAGAATGTCTAGAATACTGTGACATTTTAAGGACTAGAACTGCGATTTTTTGTTTTGTTTTGTTCTTGTTTTTGAGACAGAATTTCTCTGTATAACAGCTCTGGCTTTCCTGGAACTCACTTGTAAACCAGGCTGGCCTTGAACTCACAGAGATCCACCTGCCTCTGCCTCCTGAGTTCTGGGATCAAAGGCGTGTGCCATCTCCATCCCGTCAGACCCCGATAGAGAGATCCTGAATGGTGGAGGCTGTGATTATCCCAGACAGTCAAACATGATAGTCACGCATTAATCTATATGATCACAACCCCAGGGGTGCATTGTGAGGGTGTGTGTCACACAGGTATCATGTACAGCATTAACACAAAGTGGGACACATGGAATACAGAGCTGGAGGATCTAAATTGATCTAGAATGTCCAAGGTCTGCCCCCTCAGAGTGCTGTCTGCACTCAGAAAGTGAGATGGGAGAAAGGACAGAAATCTGGAGAATAAGAAAGGAAGAAGTGGACTACAGAGGGACAAATCCTGAATTGTACCTCAGAGACCCCAGTGACCCAGGGAGAGACTCTCTCAGGTCATTTTCTCACCTTCTAAACTGAGTTGGTTGAGCTTTGACACTCTCTTCTTCAGGGGGTAAGGTAAGTAGGAGAGAGTCCCACAGGTATCAGAAATGTGGGACAGAAACCACAGCTCGGGGTCATGTCTCCAGTTATGCTTTCTTTCACCAAACACAAGTCAAACATGCCCTGGCTGCTGACTAATTAAGACCCTGAGAGAAAGTTGGACAGATCCAGAGTGTACAACAAATTACAAGTGGCATCAGGACTGCATCTAACCTAACCACACTTTTGGCCTTTGAGCCCTTCTGTGAGAGGCTCACTACGTGTGATGGGGGCTGTAAGACATACCCACGCCAAACCTGAATCCACCAGTAGCCATGGGGGGGCTCTAGTTACTGTATGTGGACTGGGAACTAATCTGTATTGCTCCCTAAGAACAACTCACTCTCAGGATGGTCCAAGGGAACTTTTTGTATCATTTCTCAGAGAATAGAAAACACATATGAACAATTGAGTGAATCTTGTATATTATAACTTTAATCATTTATGTTTATAACTTGAAATTCTAGAATTAACAAGCAAATGTTGGATTTTCCTTATATCAGAGACATTCTTCACAAAAAACAATCCCCTTTGGGACACATTCAGTAAAAGGTAAAAGTTTTTTTTGTGTGTTCTAAAAGGAAACCAGAATACTGAACACATTTAGGTTAAAAAAGGTGCTTGAGGCTCTCTTTTCTCCCTGGGGCAGAAGCTGTCTCCACACAACTGAGAGACCCCACGTCCCACAGCCTGAATTCCACTCATACTACATCACAACCTACAGTCCCTTCCATTATTTGCCGGCGTGCAAGTGGCCAGTGGTCAGTCTAGGTCCCTCCAGAGGGAGGCTTAGCAGTAAGAGTCCAAGTTGATCTTAGAAGTAAAATTCCACCCTAGTCGGGCCGTTTGCATGGAAAAGGAAGCAGAAAATGTCAGAAATGTTCTCCATGGCACTGATTTAAAAGCACTACAGGGTCATTTCTATAGTTACTGCAGGCCCTGGAGGAGTGACTTAACGTCTCTGAACCTCAGTTAACTCGCAAGGCAATTCTAAGAATAGGAGTTTCTCTCTCTCTCTCTCTCTCTCTCTCTCTCTCTCTCTCTCTCTCTCTCTCTCTCTCTCTCTCTCTCTACACACACACACACACACACACACACACGCTGACACATCACATAATGGGAAGTTTCTCTGCTATTACTATCCCAGGGCTGACTTGGTGTTATAACATGAGATAGTATACTCAGCGATTGTCAGTGCTAGTTGATGAATGACAGAGTCAAGCCACAAACTAAAGCTGTAGATAGAACCAAATCTGGTTTCTTTGCTCTAGCTTCAGTCTGCCAGGCAATCTTGCTGTGTCCTTAGGTGAGATATTTCAATAATCAATGGGGGAGTGTAAACAGTAACAAGATCTGTGAGGGCTGAACCCCTCTAAGTATGACCTCCCTGATGTGCTCTACATCATCCCAATCCTAAAGGCGAGTCTGACTGGAGTGTGGGGGTGTGGGGGTGCAGACCCGCCTGCAGCTGTGGGATCCTGTAAACACAGACACCTAACATCTCCCAGTCTTGCAGAAACTCCAGCTATGAACACCACCACCATCACTATGGCTAGCCAGTTTTACAACCTTACATAAGAGTGAACAAAAAGTTTGTTTTAAACTCCATGTTCACTAAAGCAACTAAAGTCAGAGACAAATAAGTCCAAAATGTTAAGTGGTGAGGGCCATGTGATGTTTCTGGTGGAGGGCATGTAAACTGGTATAACTCACTATACAGAAATTTGTGGGGGCTGGAAATGGCTCAGAGGTTAAGAGCACTGGCTAGTCTTCCAGAGGTCCTGAGTTCACTTCCCAACAACCACATAGTGGCTCATAACCATTTGCAATGAGACCTGGTGCTCTCTTCTGGCAAACATGCCAGAACACGGTATGCATAATAAATAAATAAATAAATAAATAAATAAATAAATAAATAAAAAAAAAAGAATATTAGGTGCACCAAACACTATTTGAAAAAAAATTGTGGTAGCAGGCATGATAGGACATGCCTGTAATCTAGCATTCGGGAGGCTGAAGCAGGAAGATCTCGAGTTTGAAGCTGGTTTACACAATAGAACTCACTCTCAAAAAGAAAGGAAAGAAGGAAAAGCAAGCAAGCAAACCTGGCTAACAAGTGAAAAAGGGAAATAAAAAGGAAAGGCTAGGACATGAGTGTTCCTAGGTATGATGGAGGAGAACGCTTATTATAGATACCTGGGAGAGCTTAGCCAGAGACAATGCCATCTGGGAGAGTCCAGAGTGGGCATGACCAGACTGAGCTGGACCACATAGACAGAGGGGAAGGGAAGGGAGGGGACGGAGGCAATAGGAATGAGGTACAGCAGCCAAGAAGACAAAGGTACCAAAGGGGTGGGTAGCCAGAATGGCTGGATTATATAGGGAAGAGCCTCTGGGGAAAGGGCAGCTGGGGGGCGGGGTAGAGAGTGGGGTATGCCAGCCACACTCTGTAACAGGTAGGGACTGCTGAATGGTGGGGAGGACCTGGCAGCCAGGTCCACTTTGATATGTTAAATAGGCACCTCAGTCATTTGTCCCAGGGTTTGAGACTTAACAGTTAACATTTTTCAAAACTGGAAATTACATTCCTGGGTATATACCAAGTATACATTAAAGTCGTGGGCTAGAATTATGCTAATAAGGAACCCTAGTCATTTGAAGTGCTTTTAAATTAAATTACTCTAATTGTAATTCTGGAAAATTTCTAATTCAGTTCTTTAATCACACCTATCACATGCTCACTTGCCACCAAAACTGTATTAGATAGCACCCACAGAGAATATTTCTATCCAGCCAGGCAGAGTAGTACACACCTTTAATCCCAGCACTCAGGGAGCAGAGGCAGGCGAATCTCTGTGAATTCAAGGCTAGCCTGGTTTACACAAAGAAATCCAGAACAGCCAGAACTACACAGTGAGACCCTGTCTCAAAAAAAAAAGGGGGGAAGGAAGGAAGAAAGAAAGAAAGAAAGAAAGAAAGAAAGAAAGAAAGAAAGAGAAAGATATTTCTAACCACCACCGCCCTGCCTTCAGCGGCTCTTTTTACAACAGACCCAAACTACAAACTCATCTACCTGCCTGTCGATGGTGAAATAAATGGTAAACTGAGATATATCAAACACTCGAAGGTAGTTTGAACGAACGGCCTGTGAACGTGCTGCCATATGGCTAAACTTTGCAAGAAAAAGCCAGGCAAATAAGAATGCATACAGGCAATTCCATCTAGGCCATGATCTTCAACGGGCGGGCGTAACTATGCTACAGTGCCAGGAGCCCGGACTCCGGAAGACTGTAGTCACCGTGTTCGGGATTTGAGGGCACTGGCCTCTTTAGTTCTCCGCCTGGGTGTTAGCAGTTTATTCTGTCTTTTTCTTTACAACCCCTCTTTCCTGATGAGTCTTCCTGTTTTCAAAACGCCCTGATTTATCTGATATCTACAGACCAGGGACGGGGAAAGTGGTCCTTCAACACAGCTAGTATGCTTTTGAGCTCACTGTCCTCATGGGGATGCCTCCACAGCACAGCCTGCCGCCCAGTGGACACGTGGCGCCCGACCCTGGATTCCTACCTCACTCTGCACGGTGCTGGCCTGGCTCCTCGCCCAGGTGGTAGCGGTCAGGAATGCTGGCCCTTCCAGTCCGGGGCTGGCGCTGCCTTGGTCAGGTCCTCGGGGCTCGGGCTTGCTGGTGTACTCTCCACTCAGTCGGTTTTAGCTGCCAGTGCCGGTCCCGGCATCGGATCCAGCCTCTCCCGCACAGAGCCGGGCAGAGGCGGGGCATGAACGGTGTCCACTCACACTGTGTCCTTCCAAGGCCCTAGAGTTGGGAGCAGGCGGCCAGGAAGTCCCCTGTGGGTCTCTGAACGCTGAAGCCAAGGAGAAATAGGCAGACTGGGGCCTCCAGCCTTGCCGCCTCTGCAGGTGGCTCTTCACCAAAGCTCCCGCTCCCAGCCGCATCAGCTACAGAGAGGGTCACAGACCAACCGCTCCGACGGTCCGGTCCTTAAGCAGCCAACAGTAGGCCCGGGTTTCTCTTCAGGACCCTTTTTTCCTGCAATGATGGGTTAAAGAGGACAAAGGCCAGGCTACTTTAGCTTGGGTCTTTTCCCCCAGGTCCGGGCCAGATTCTTTGCTAAGCGTTAGGGACAGCTTTGTCCTCAAAAAGGCTTTACCTGCAAAGGCACAACTGGGGACTGGCAGTCCAGTCTCAGCCTGCACAGAAGCTAGCCTAGTTCAGTCTTGAACCAAGCCACTTTTTTTTTTCTGGGCCATCGCTTTAATTTTTCAAAGCCAAGGTGGTCTGCACCTGAGTTTTTATGGCCATTTGCTGATTTGTGCATTTTCTTTTTTGTGTGCTTTATTGTAGATTCTAAAAAAAGAAACTGGGGACTGGAAAGATGGCTCAGAGGTTAAGAGCACTGGATACTCTTCCAGAGGTCCCGAGTTCAATTCCCAGCAGCCACACGATGGCTCACAATCATCTATTGTGGAATCTGATGTCCTCTTCTGACTAACACACATAACAATAAGTACATCTTTAAAAGAAAAAAGAAACAGAGAGGTCAATTCAAGGAGAAGACTGAGGTTCAGAATGACTCTAATATACTCCAGGTGGGTACCACTTGTAGGGTGGGCTTTGAGATTAGAATAGAGACTGCCTGCTTCTGATCCACAGGCTCCACAGAAACCTGATCTGACTGACAGGCCAGTAAGAACCAGTTCCTCCTCCCAGCCCTGCCTACTCACCTCCTCCGCCTGGTGTGGCATAAGTCACTGTGGATAGTGTTTATATACAGATTTAGAGATGCAAGGAGGCTTGTAGTCAGAGGCCAGCTGGAAATTGCAATTTATCCTTCTCTCTAACTTAGAGGCAGAGAGAGCAGAGCCCAGAGAGACAACTTACACAACCTAAAGGCTCTTGGGTGGTAAGAAGGTTCTCATGTGTGCATAAGCGTGTTCTCTCTCTCTCTCTCTCTCTCTCTCTCTCTCTCTCTCTCTCTCTCTCTCTGAGTGTGTGTAAGAGTGTTGTGAGTGTGTGTAAGCGTTGTGTGAGTGTATGTGTGAGAGTGAGTGTGTGTGAGTGTGTGTGTGTGTGTGTGATTCTTGTAGAACAGAGATATGGAGCAGCAGCTTCAGAAAGATCTTCTCTGCCACCCCGGTGAATGATGCTACTTTGGTCAAAGGTTTTCACTCTCTGATGTCCCTGGCTCTGGAACCCCAGCAATGACGGAAATCCTTTAACAAAGTAGTGGGAGCTATTTATGTTTGGAGTATACAGGCTCCCGAGTGGGGCAGGGGGCTGGAAGGGGTTGACCCAGTCTAGCTGTAATTATCTTAAGACACGCAAAGAAAACCACGAGGAAGTCGGTGCGTAGGCCCAGCTGCGCTTCCTCTTTGAGGGTCGCATTCTTCTAGAGCCTAAGAGGATGCAGATTCAAGGAAGGCTGGCTGGGCAGGAGGAAGCCTGCAGGGAAGGTGAGGGTCTGCAGCTAGGAGCATTGGGAATCCACAGCCAGCAGGATGCGTGCGTGTGTGTGTGTGTGTGTGTGTGTGTGTGTGTGTGTGTGTGTGTGCCCGCGCGCACGCATGCACGCATGTGTGTGTGTAGCTACCTAGGCCACTGCAGTGGAGCAAGGGTTGCTGCCCCTAGGGACTTCAGCTCCTCAGGCATAAGTTCCATCCTGGGGGCGAGCAGGCTGAGCCTGGTTCATCTCTCTCATCACCTCCTGACTACAGACCTCACTCTTCCTTATTTCTAAGTCCTGCCCTAACCTCAGACTGTTCCGTGTCAAGGTCATCACCAAGTTCCAAGCCTCCTTGTTTACATCTTGAGCTGTAGGGAGAAATGTGGCATCTGAGAGAGAGGGACTCCCGGGCAGCACAGTACAGAAAGCAGAACTTGGTCCTAGAATTTCAGGATAAGCTGCCAGATGTCCCTGCCCAGGTACAGGTAAGCTAGGAGCCCCTCCCCCTATTTCCCTCACAGCCAAAACCAAGGTCCCAGCTTGACTACACCAGGGCTACCTGCATGGCTGGCTGTTGAGCCATCTATAGAACTCTCATAACGCATGGATGTCTTGCCCTACTATCTGCTTCAAAGAAGTCCGCTGACCCTCCTTGATCTTACGTGGAAGACAAAAAGTCTTCACACCACATGATACTGGAAAGTACCTAAGTCTCTGGTGGCAGAGATGGGAGTGTGCTTACCTACACTTGAGGGGCTCAGGAAAAAGTTCTCCTTGGAGCGGGAATTATTTACCAGAAAGATGAGGATAGATGTCCCAGAGAAAGAGAAGACATTGTAGTGCAGGGGCTCTGTGGGTGGTTTCTTTTTAGATTTTCCTAGTCAGATATAAACTGAAACGTGCTTTTCTGGCTCTTATATAAAAGGACTTCAATTCTGAGTATTTTATTCTATTTACACTTTAAATTCTACCCGCTGTTTAAAAACAAAACAAAACAAAAAACCAAAAAAACCACACTTATTTGGTTGTCATGCCCCACCGTTCCACTCAGCACACCCAGACATGAATTCAGGAACCCACAAACAGCGCTTTTCTATCTCCATTCCCAGCATCTAGAACAGTGCAAATAAATAGGTTCTAGGTGTATATAGTTGAATGAATGAATGATTCTTTTCCAGCTGGTGAGAAAATGAGAATTCCTCCTCCAGCCTCCAGTTTAAGAAACTCATGGCTAAGTAAGCCCAGAACGGGGAGCTTATGCCACACCTCGGTGAATACGGGGTTGCGGGTGGATGGGTTCCAGCACACCGCAATTTAATATTAAATGAGCTAGGGGTCCAGGAGTCTGGTGCACTAACTCACGCCCGGCTCTGGGGTCCTTCAGCTACCCCAGAGCAAAGAGGAGCAGGGTCTCCCTCCTCCCTCCAGCCCCTCTACAGCCTCGGGGCCAGGCCCTTTGGGGGTGGGTCCGAGTGCGTCCTGGGCGGTCAGAGAGTTTGGGGGCGCTATCTCGCCTGCCTGCCAGCCTGCCTCCTTCCCCTTTTCCTCCTCGTTTTCCCCCCTCCTGCCCTTCGGGTCTCTCTAGCTCCTCAGACTAGCGGCCTCGCAGCAACCTAACAGCCCCCACCCCCTCTAGCAGGGGCGAAATTGCTAAACTTGTAGCAATAATGACCCTGCATTCAGGCGGCCGACTCCCGCTGAACCTCTCCGCGCCCCGGCCCGCCCGGCCTAATCAGGGCGCCCCTCCCTGCTGCCCGCCCAGCCCCCGGCCCCCCGGCCTCCCCTTCCCCCACACACAAAAAAACGGGGAACAAAACCCCCGCGCATTTCTCCGTCCCTCTGTTGAGCGGACTGCTACACAAAGCCCCCGCTCTGAGAAGCAATGGGGAGCTCGGGGGGGACGTCAATCCGACGCGCTGGGGTTTTTGTTCGCACAGGGGACCTCGCCTTCCTACCACACCTTTTGTTCGGGACTCCAATAAAAAGCCATTCTTTCCGCACCTTCCCGGCCCGGAGCCGCCTTTCAGCCAGGCCCGGCCCCACAATGGCGCGGCGCTCAGAGGCCTCCCCATTCACCCGCCTTGGCACGCTCACAATCGGCCGTGTGGCAGCACAGGCCTCGCACAGGCATTCTCCGCAAGTGACAAGGAGCCGCATAAAGCCGCGGCCGCCGGGGGAGAAGGGAGGGCGGCCGAGGGGGGAGAGCTGGACCGCGGCGGGGCGCAACGCAGCGCCCCCGGGCGCGCTGGAAGGCTCGGTGGCCGCCGAGGAAAGAGCCGCCCAAGGCTGAGCCTGGAGGCGAGCTTTTCGCCTTCCTTGGAGACCCTCGAGGTTGGGCAGAGTCTCAGCTTGACCAAGGCAGGTCTCGGCACCAAGTCAGGGCATCTGGGTAAAATGTAGCGGTGTGTGTGTGCGTGTGCGTGCGTGTGTGTGAGTGTGTGTGTGTGTGTGTGTGTGTGTGTGTGTGTAGATTATAAAGTCCTGGACCTCAGAAGACCCAGAGCCTCCCTCCGGCCTGTTCGGCCCACAACACTGAAGAGAAATTAATGAACAAAGCGGCGAAGAGACCAAACTTGCCGCCTGGGGCCTGGTTCAGGGGCAGCAGGCCGAGATGCCCAGGGTGCTTTTCCTCACTTCCCGCCCTGTTTAAGGGGGGGGGCTCCCCAGGCTCTGGGTCTAACCAAGTCTGCAGCAAGCCAAACAGTTCAGAAATATTGCACCTTCTTTATTGAGTCCTGTAGTGTATGACAGCGGTTGTGTACACGGCGTGTGGATACAGTTATACAGAGAGATAATGTGCTGAATACAGAATACAAAACAGAAAGGAACCAACCTGGGACACCTAAGCTGGGCCGCCAGGTCCTGGATTTGCTCAGCTGCCTCCCTTCCCCCAACCTTCGATCTCACTGGGGTGGTGGTCTCCGAGAAGAGTCCCCTGACAATTCGGAGATCCGGGCGGAGTCTTGTCTCAGAAGAGAGACAGTTGGAAAACGAAAATCCTCTGGGTTGTGGCGCTCCAAAAGGGGCTGCAGAGCGGTGGAATCTCTCACGCCAGTACCCCATTTCCCTCTCCTTCACGCTCTCTCCCCAACTATTTTTCTTTCTTTCTTTTTTCTTCTTTCTTTTTCCCCTGTTTGGTCCGGTTCCCCGACCATACTTCGAGAAGGCCAAAGGAAGGTCGAAGGAAAAGCCCTCCTCCGGAGAGCAAGCGACAGCCGGAGTCCCAGCCTCCCGCACTCCCGGCAGAGCCAGGGTGGGGGCCAACCTCTTCCCTGGCGTCTGGTCGGTACTTCTGTCTCAGACAGTCTTGACGACTCGACCAGGGCATCCGTTTCTCCGCTGAGCCCCAAGCCTAGAGTGTGCTGCGACCCTGGCCCCTTGGGGAGCGACATGTCCGTATTTTATTTTAACGAGGGGACCTGGCCCTCGGGTCTGGCCTTTCTCGTGTCTCATTCCCGCGGCGCCAAGCTGCGGGAGGACGCCCGCCTCAAGTCCTGCCCTATCCTTACCAAGCCCTGATGCCCTGCAAGGTCCCCTGTGCGCACGCGGCCCCTGCTGCGGCACCCTGGTGCAAAGGTTGAGCGCCGCCGCCACTGCCAAAGCCTCCCAGGTTGCCCACGTTCACAAAGGATCCGCCGCCAGTGGCGCTGCAGGCGGGCTGCATGGCGGTGGTCGCGGCGGAGGCCCCGCCACCGCCACCGCCTGTCGGGTAGGCACAGCCGTAGCTACCGCTGTAGGCCGCGGCTGCGGCGGCTGCTGCAGCTGCTGCAGCTGCGGCGGCGGCCGAGTTCCCGTAGCCGTAGGCGGGGAAGCTGTTGTAGGAATAGGCGCCAGCGCCCACGCTGTAGGGCGAGCCATAGGCCTGCGCGCTGGGAGTGACGCACGGCTTGCCGTCCCGCACCAACACCGGCACTGCCACGCGGCGAGGTGGCGGCGGCGGCGCGTGCGTCCCCAGCTCCAGGGACTTGTCCTGCCGCTGTCTCTTGCACTTGTACCTGCGGTTCTGGAACCAGATTTTCACCTGCGTGGACGTGAGCTTCAGGCTGCTGGCGAGGTGCTCGCGCTCGGGCGCCGACAGGTACCGCTGCTGCTTGAACCTGCGCTCCAGCTCGAAGACCTGAGCTTGAGAGAAGAGCACCCGCGGCTTCCTGCGGCTGCGCGGCTTCGGCCTCTCGCCGTCCTCGCTCGCCTTACAGTCTCCCGTCGCTTCTAGAGACTTCTTCAACTGGCAGCTTTCTGCGGGCAGAAGCAAGACCTTAGCTCCCTATATAGCATCTCCACACCCCGGAAGCACAGAGCACGCGGTAGTAAATGCTTAGATTTGGGGAAAGTTCATGCTTCCTGATACTCAGGGGCCCTGCATCAGACTGAGCACCTCCACGGGGGGAGGCATGTTCTATGGGGAGTAGTTAGCTCGCATTTATTAAAACTTGAGTGTCTGAGAGAAAAGAGATTAAGAGTGCCGGCGCTCGATGCGCTAATGACTATTTTCATGCTTGCGTCTGTGATAACGACAGTATTTGCAAACTCGTTTGCCTACCACTTGCTACAGATACCTGTGTGAAACGTGTTGGTGGTATTGGGGATAGTCAGCCAGGACGCATGGGTAGATTGCAATTTTTTTTTCTGTTCGGAAATACCTAAGTGTAAGGCGTATGCGCAACTCAAGAATTGATATTTTCTTATCAAAACTAGTAAGAATGTGTGTGTAACAGTATATGTATATTTTCTTACAGAGGGAAAAAGTTGGATGGACAGATTTAGACAGTTTCGTGTCTGTTTTAGGCCTGGTGAGCTGTCAGGGAAAAGGCCTTGGTCTCAACTACATCAAACCTTCGCTTGGAGAAGAGATTCTTTGATTCTGTCTTCCTTTCAGACATTTCCTGGGGGCTTATTTAGTTATCTGATTTTTTTCCTACCACCTCTGGTCTGCTGAGCGTCCAGAACCCTTAGCTAAATTCTGCACTTTATCCACTCTATTCGGCTTGCAGCCAGAGACACAAAGCGAACACTAGGATTTTTTTTAAGGCCTTCACCTCAAGGGTGTGAGTGGTGCGGCCATCTGGAGGGGCCCACACACCAACCATCTCTTCTCCTTCGCAGGGTGCTGTGGGTGTGAGAACTCTGAGCTTCAAGCTTAGATTTCTCAACGTTCCCTGTCTTCCAGGACGCTAAAAACACAATCTGCTCATCTGCTCGCACTGCCTTTTCCGCAAAGCCCGGGTGTCTGCGCTAGCCTCACTCAGAACTCAACTCACATTAGAAGAAAGTCAGAAAAATGGCCAGACTACTGACTCCTTTTTGAGAAGAGGGATGTTCGAGAGAACACACACACACACACACACACACACACACACACACACACACAGAGAGAGAGAGAGAGAGAGAGAGAGAGAGAGAGAGAGAGAGAGAGAGAGAGAGAGAGATGCCACTGTCACTTATCGCTTATCCGAAGCAGGGCTGCCACTATCGCTTGCCCTTCCCTCGGGGCTGCTCCCGCTCCCCGCCCTAGGGAAGCACCTCCTTCCCCACTCTCCCCTTGCTCCGTCTCAGGTACCTGCGCTTTGCACAGCTGTCCTTGAACCTGGCGTAGGCACGACCCTAGCCGAATGTGAAAGGGGCGGGTGGCCATGCCGGCACGGTTTGTGGGCTGTTTACGGGCTCTGAGCCATTGCTCCAGGTGCAGGGACGCGTTTCCTTTCCCCCCTACTCACTTTGGCTCCGTTCTCTCACAACCTCCTCTTCTTGTTCCTTGGGCCTGCTGCAGGAGTCTCGAAGGACTGCATGGACATAGCTTTGCGGACAGAGACCTGAATCCCCGTGGCCCTCGGCAGCAGCTAGAGAGTTCAAATAGGACAGTTTCTCTCCCTCTTCTTCCTCCTCCTCCTCCCCTGCATCAGAAAACTGTGTGCCTTCAGCCGTGGCCAGCATACAGGGAGCCGAGTGGAAGTGCTGCTCCAACTCCGCCTGCAAGTGAGTTCCGTGGAAGTGCTGCTGTTGCTCCAGATTCAAAATGTCTTTGACTGAGAAAGGGGTGGAGGTGACCGGGCTTGGTAACATCATCAGGGCCACTTAATTGTCCAGTCCAAATACTCAATAAATCCCGGCGGGGGCGGGGAGGCAGAGCGGCGGCTCCAGCTCTTCCTCTGGACCTCGCGGTGCTACGGAGTCGAGCTTTTGACAGACGCGGTCCTGCTCCAGTCTAAATCGCCTCCATTGGCCCGGACCTGGGGGTCTGGGTTTTGTTACAGCCACTGCAAGGACTGGGGCCGGGGCTGTGAAGCCTCTGCCCGAGGGCCCTGCGTCACGTCGAGGGGCGGGGCCGGCATCCTGGCCTGCTTCCTAATTGGTTCTAGCGTGCGCGGGCCACGCCCTCCGCGTCCACCCCAGTGGGATGTTGCTGCCTTACCAGAAATAGACAGGGACTAGAATAGGGTCTTGAGGTCCAAGTCGCGGTGGGAGAGGCTGCCTTGCGCCGGTGTCCGAATCACCGCACCCCGTTTCACCCAGCCGCACCTGGCCGACTGGGGGCAGTTCCGAGAGGCTCCCTTCCATGAACCAACAAGTCCTAAAAGGATGACACAGATTGGTTTTACAGCTGCTTCGGGGCAGGAAAACTTCCTGGCCAGTAAATTCCGGACGCTGGATTGATTCCTCAGGAGACGAATGCTGCATCTGTGGAAATACGAGCGACGTGTCGAATTCCACCTTGTCTTTGCTCTAGCTGTTCTCACCACGTGGAGTGCCTTTCCCATCCTCGCTTCCACGGGTGGAAAGCTGCTCTTCGATGCTCTTCTCAAACAGCACGTCCTCCGAGGAAGCGCTGCCGGAAGTCCTCTTCCTCTGAACTCGCTCTGTTAGTAATGTCACTTGTCACTCCCCCCACCTAGAGTTATGGCTGTATGTGTCCGCCTGGCTGTCAGGTTAGGTTGTGAGGGCGGGGGTCCAGGTCGTATTTGCCCCTGCGGGCCCTTGCAGTGACTGCAGAGAGCAGGTACCTGGTGGACGAGATGATGGAGCTCTTTGGTGTGCAGCGGCTCTTGCTGCGAATCCTGGCCTGAGTCAATGTTTGGTTTTCGATGCTCTCAGTTTCCTCTTCTTTATAAAGGAGCCGAATTCCCTTTTCCAGGGCAATTGCTCTAGTTAAATAAGGCTAACCAGAGGGAAGCATAGTGCAGGTCTAGGAATGCTGAGGACTCAAAACGTTCATTTATCCTTTTTCTGCATCAGGTCAGTGTTGGCTTCATTGATTCTGACCTGGCGGAATCTGGAGTCTGAGTATAGGCCTCAACTTTCAGACACGTCTTAGTTCTCTACCTGCTGGCTTTCTGAGACCTTGGCTACATACTGCAGAGAGAATATATAGAGTCTCAGACTCTGAAAACTGCCTGGTGGGACCACCTTGTGGCCTTCACCTGCCTATGAGCTTAGCCCTCAGAATAGCAGCGGCCACCATTGTGAGGATGACGGCCAAACGCGTGGGCAGCACGCCTTGGAAACAACAAACAAGAAGCGGTTCTGGCTTCACGGTGGGGTTCCTCACCAGACCGCCCCTGGCTTTTGTTTGTGGTCTCTCCCCCTCCTCCCCACCCCCTTAGGACCGCACAGTTGGGAGAGACTGGCTTCAGCCGGAGAGGACGTCCGGAAGGCACGGGCACCGAGGATGCCGCCCTGGGAAACGGGTAGACGCGGCACGAATAGGATTCTATGGAAAGCGGCCCCGCAAAACCCAGGGACGGCAGAAGGATGGTGCCCACGGCCTTGGGAAGAAAGGGTTGGGAGGAGGGGGCGGGGCTCTTCGGGGGAGAGCGGAAACGCTGCGGACACGCTGCGCCCGGGGCCACCGGGGGAGCAGGGGCGAAGCTCCCTCCACGTGCCCTGGGGGAGATGGGGAAAGATCACCCGTGGGTGGGCCCTGGCCCCTCGGAACCAGGCCTGGGTCGCGGGAGCCTTTTCACTTTTAAGACTTGCGAGGGTCGACGTCTCTAGCGGGGACGGCGGCCGCTGCAGAGGCGAGGCAGCCGAGGGAGGAGGAGGACCCTGAGCGCAAACGTCCCGACCGAGGTGGGGTGAGTGCGGGGTCGGGGACTGTGAGGGGGCGTGAGCGTCCCAGCTGGCCGCGGGAGGACCAGAAGGAAATCGCGCTGCGGTCCTTGTCCCCCACCCCGCCGCCAATCAAGGCAAACCCTCGCGCAGAAATGCTTCTGTTCGCCTCTGCTCTCCGCTCCCCCCCCCCCAAGTTCTCAGGTGATTTCAAGATTCGGACCAAAGAAAAGATAAAAGCTATTGCGTGTCTCTGTGCTGGGTTTCTTGCTTCTTGGCCCTGCTTCGCCCTCACCTAAACCTCGGCCCAGAGTGAACTCCCCCCCCCCCCAGTGCACCAACGCCTGCAGCTCAGTAACTCATCAGCACACCTGCTGCCCCGGGGAAGGTCTACTTCTCTCTGCCCGGGCACATGGCGGTCTGCTCCCCCACCTGCAGGAGCTCCTGGCAGGGCTCCTCCAAATCCGCCGCTGCCTGGCCAGGGATCCTCAGGACACACCTGGACGGCTCTTTCTTGATGACCCTGGCCTCCGCAGCGGGCTGGGACAGCACTGGCTCTGGGAGGACTCTGGGGGGCTTGGTGAATGTGCCAGCACGCGGCATCTAAGGCCTAACCTGTTCTCCCACCCCTATCCCGGCCTCTGCACCGCGGATCCAGAGACTTCCACACTCCCCTTGATTTTCAGGGTCGGTCTTTGATTTTTGCCCAGAACAGGGGTTCTGGTCATCCCTAGGTTCCCTCTCCTAACTGTTTAATCCTGGCTTATACGGGTTTCGAAGTAGCAGGTTCGCAGCCAGTGCAGTCGCATCCCGGTGGCCCCCGCGCTGGCAGCGGGCACCCGAACCGACTACAGGGCCTGCGGCCGGCCAGCCGTGCAGGAAAACTCCGATGCCGGGGGTCCCGCTCCACTGCGGCTTATCTGGGCACGGAATCTAGTTCCACCCGGTATCCAGTTACTAGCACGTTCAGGGGCATTTGCATCCTCTCGTCTGAAAAGATCTTAGAAATCTTGGATCCGTGCTCAATTAACAATAGGATTTCGTATCAGATAGTTTAGCCAATTACTGTCAGAAAAAGTAAATATGGACTGCGCAGCCTGGCTTTGTTTTAGTCCGAAGTGTCTGCCTGGGTTCACCTCCATCGCCTCACGAGCCCCTCCCATCGGATATTTGATTACAGAGCTTGCTGAAGTGGTGGCAAATTCCCCGGGGGGGGGGATTTATAGACGTGTATATGAAAAATAAAATTACAGCTGTTAAAGAGGCTCGTGTTAGCCATTACAGTAATTTCATTACCCGAGGGGAAATGTGATAATTTTTGAAACCTTTGTTTATGTCAAACTCTAACAGATTTACTCCCTACACATATGAAATAGGCAGATAGTCAATAGTTTTTGTTCATCTGACATTATTTGTCTCCTTGCACAAACAACTATTTAATTATGGAACCAGGGCCTCATTGGCCCGTTTTAAAAAAATTCAGTGTAGCATTATGGTGATTTTTCTATTCAACTATGAAAAAATAATGTTGCTGTAAACTCAGCTGACCTGATATATGAAATTTTAGGTGAGTTTTAAGTCATTTTGACTGCTGTCTTCGAAATTTTTAATGACTCACACGCACAAAGAAAAGAAATGAGGAAAGGCTTCGTTTTTGTCAGTGACATCATTTTTGTCAGCGACACTAAATGGGATGTTGTTGATTTGTTAGTGGCAATGGTTATGTGTGCTGTATCTGGTTTTGGTTTTTTAGTTTAGAGACGTTGGAAACCTGTCCCCAACTTCCTGAGCAGACTGCATTTTAATGGTAAGAAGGGTAATGCATCGCCCTATTTGAGGTATAAATTTAGTCTTTAACGGCTGAACATTTGTATAATTTTAAGGAAACGCTAACCATGTTGCTTCGTTCTAGAAAGTGTTAAACTTATCTAATTTCTTGAGTATGTGTGCTTCCGTGGTGAACTGATGTTGTGAAAGGGATTTTTAAAGTGGGCTGTGAGCACATGGCTTGTTTTGCACGGGTGGGCATTTTTCCTAGATTTTGTTTGGAATTAATTTTCTAAACAGCTCATTTCCTTTTCCTGAGAGAAAAATCAGTCCAAATACAGCAAATTGTGTGGTCTGTGGTGTGAATTACAGGCCATCTCTGAGAGTTTCGATTTCTCTGGGTGAAGAGTTTTCACTCATATCTTCTCAGATATGACCCATTCCAACACTTTTAAAGATAAAGATGTAAACTGAGATTTCCTCACCAAAGCCAGTTCCTTTCATGCCAATACCACACTGAGGTTGGGGGACTATTTTTGTGGAAAGAAACGCAGCATTTCTTCAAACGAAAATGCCTAAAACAAAGGGTGCCTTGTGCATCTATTTGTATTGATGTGTGTGCTATTTGAAAATGCAGCGAGCAGTTTTAAGTAGAGGATTTAACTGGAATTCGGAATGCATTCCGTGGTTTTTTTTAACTTCCTGTAGTTAAACTTCGACTTCTACAGATCTTCAAAAATATATATAATCTAAGTTCAGAAAGGCTCTTTAAGTCTTGGGCGAACTAATTCGCTCTAGCTAGAGCGACTGCCTGGCTGGTTCTCGCGGCTCGCTGAGCACACGCGGAGAAAGATTGAGAAAAGTGGCCTTCGGAGCTACAGATTGTTCTCCTTTCTTCCTCCGCCAACCCTCCCCGCATTGCAGACACTAAACCGCAAACCCACTCCCAGGGACCTTGGCCTCCTGGAGCTACCTGAAAACTTGTTCCCCAGTCTCTCTGGGGTCACTTCGGGAGAATAACTGCAAACCATTTGAGGAAAAAAAATACCTTTCCCATTTGCAAGAAAGTGTTGCTGGTTTTAATCTCTCATGCGTGTTTTCCTTTGGTTCTGCTTGCGTGGAGCCTGGAGGCCGACTCTGGTCTGCCCTAGGGGGCCAGCGATTTCCGAGGTCTGTCATCCAAGATGAGAGTTTCTGGACACCCTGGCTGGACGGCTTCTGAAACTCCAGAGCCCCTGGGGCTCACCGCTCCCCTTCTCAAGGCAGTCGAGGTTTTCTCCTCAGTGTTCCGGGATGGGCGGTGCGTGGGGCCGTGAAATATGGGCTTTGCCCGGAATTGGATAGAAACAGGAGGTGAGAGCGCTGAGGCCCCAGATGGGCGCAGTGACCATTGGCCGGGGAGGCTCGCAACCACAAGATCAGAGGCACCATGTGTC